TCGTCGTTCACGTGCGCTTGAACAGACTGCCAGCCGACAGGTTGAGGTGCTTCGGATACCGGTGGCGCGGGAGGAGTAGGAATCACAGGACGGACTTGGCGATCAGATGCCGATGGTACACGATTTCGCCTATGTTCCTCGCTTCGTCGAGTGTTCCTGTGGCCCCTTCGACTAGATCGGTTGTTCTGTTGATTTTGTACACTCTGAGGCGGACTTCGGACCGCGTTTTCCAGACGTGTTCGGAAAGTGTTCGACAGCAATGTTTTAACTCTCTGCGCATTCATGACTGATTCTAGCTCCGATATTGTAGTCTCATTTTCACCCCCTCGTCTCACCTGACTTCGTTGGAGCATCTCGTTTAGCACGAATCGTCGGTCATAACCAAAAAGTATCTGCGAAGCGAGTCGTTCGACTTCGCTGATTCTCTGGGCTCGTTGAGACTCGAAAAATTGGTCCAGAGTCAAATCGAAGTTTTGGTTCTGATTTCCTGAACTGCTCGTATTCGAAGTATTTACAGAAGCTGAAGGTGTATTGCTGCAGTCAATTTTAGTAATCTCAATTCGATCGCTGAGCATTTGCGTGAGTGAATTGTTTTCACATCCCATTTGAACAGTCAAGCTCGTTTGATTCAGGAGACGGATTTGATTTGCGCGCTCCTGGCGCTGTCGCTCGAAAAAAGAGTCCAAACTCTGCTCCATTTCTGCAGAGAAAGAAAACTGAAAGAGCTCAAAAATTAAATGTTTGCCAAAAAAGGAATTGGTTCAATTACCAATATTTATGGTAATAAAGGTATAGTGTGGTGTTGGTGAACAAACGAAGTAAAATGATATTTGAAGCAAATATATTGCTTTTTATAGCAAGCTTACAGCTCATTGCTGAAAAATTCAGCGAATGGATCTAAGTTTGACGGCAATTTGAAGAATATATAACGCAAGTTCTTCAGTGAATTTTTGATGTCATGTTCGTGTCAAATGAAATTCGTTCGAGCTCTAATGCGAAGTCTATAGTATATATTGTAGCAAATTTACCAAAATGACACTCTTAAGACTACAGTCGAGTTTGTTGAGCCATGTAAGCTATCAAAAAGTTTGCCAGCCCGAGTATTGTAACTTACCTGAATATGGCAAAAACCGATCAATAAAACAAGGCCACTCGAAATAAACTGATTTATAAGGTCAGAAGTAAAAACGATTTAAAAACTAATTTGCTGACATAAATTTTTTTAAATAGTAACATTTAACTATATTACGATAAAAATATGTGTTCAATTATTATAAACAGCTCAAACAATTTGGCCAAAACAGGGACAAAACCGTGCTTAGGGAGACCTCGAAAGATCATTTCGGTCGACCTAAAAAAAGTCGACAAAATATTTGAAATTTTTTTGAAAATCCGCTCCCCCCTTCGAAAAAATCCTAGATCCGCCCCTGGTTCTGATCAAGCTCTTCAAGCAATGAAATTTTGAAAAATTTGAAGTTCATTAATATCTTATCTGAGCAAGCTTAACGTTTTTCAAGTACTTTCCTACCTTAATTCAATTTGCAGCTAGTTGTTTGGAGAGAGCTATTCAAACGATGAAACTTTGAAAATTTTAAAATTATTTCAATCCGTGTAACGAATTGCAAAAAACTCACCAGTTTCTACCAGCCATTTATTTCAGCAATCAAGTCTAAAGCTTGAAACAAAAAATCATAGTAATGGTGTTCGCTTAAACTAAAAATTTTTCTTGCAGGCAATTCAAAAGATAATTTTGAAAACTTTTGAAGTAATTTCATACCGTGAGCCGTGTGGCAAAAAATTAGGTTTTTCTAAGCAAGCAATTTAAGCTGTACATTTCAAAAATTGTAGCATGATTCAAATCACAAAAGTCAGAATTTATCTAACTAAGCTATTTAACGATGATTTTCGAAATTCTTTAAGGTAGTTCAGAGTGAATCGGTTCACAAAAAAAATGTTTTAGCAAGCTAGTCACGCATTAAAACATAGAAAATTATCACGTTAATCATAAACAAAATCAATCCGCAAATAGTTAGAATTTTCGGTGCAAGCTATTCAAGCAAGGAAAAGAAAACATATCTCAAGCTAATTCATAGAGCGAATCGGTTCTCAAGCATTTAAGTTTTTGTAAGTAAGCTACTCAAGATTTGAACCATTAACTTTTTCAAGTTCTTTCATAGAGCAAAGAGGCTTGCAAAAATGTCAAGTTTTTCCATGCAAGCAGCTTAACTAATAAAAAATTAGAAAAGTTTTGAGTTCCTTGACAACGCGAATCGGTTCGCAAAAAGTGTGTGAGCTTTTCTAAGCAAGCGACTCGGCGATAAAAAAAAACTCAATTGTTTCAAGTTATTTCAAAGAACAAATCGATACACAAGATATTCTAGCGACAAAATTTCATGTTTCTTTCTACAGCTAAATGGTTTGCAGAAGTACAAAACTTTTCTTTGCAAGCTACTGAGGCGACAAAACCTAAAAATATTTCATACTTTTGAGATATTTCAAAGAGTGAATCAGTTCGCAAACAGTTTTTCAAATTTTCTGTGCAAACTATTCAAGCTTTTCAGCTTTGAAACACTTCAATTTTTCAAAGAGCTGGGTATGATTTGAATAACAAAACTGTTGTTTTTGAGAAGCAAGCAATGAATTGGTTTACAAAAGTTTTTTGATGTGAATTGTTCAAGAAAACGCACATTGAAACATTTCACAAAATATTTGATAGCGTAAATTAATTCACTTAGGTCAGAATTTTTGATGCAAGCGATTGACGTGATTCAACTTGGAACATTTTACATTCTTCCGATAGTTTGAGTAAATTAATGCCTTGAACATTAATTGGTTCACAAAATAGCTTTCATAGTTTTAATCGACCCGCGAAAAAACCTACTGGCAAATTAAATTTTTGAAATTTTGAAGTAATGACGAATACAAAAAAGTTTCATACTGTTACAATTACTCGAAACAATTTACAAATAGCTAATTTCAAATTATTGATCGAAGAAAAATTTAGACTTGTTTCTATAGCTTCAAACAATTTGCAGAAAATTAGTTTTTTTTGCGAGGCCAGCGATGAATCAATGAAAATTTGAAACTTTCGCGATATGTTTCCGTGGTACCGGAACTCCTTGTCTTCCAGTTTGAGACCACTCAATTTTACGCAAGCTGTGCCCAACATCCTTTTAGTTCGCTAATTTTAAAGATCGAAACTGTGGGGGTCGGCAAGCTGCTGTCAATCCAAATGCTCATTTGCTTTCCGTTGAGTTCAATTGGAATTTTTGCTCCAGCTGTTTTCAACTTCGTTTATTGCTCTGACTGTATCGCCATTACCGCATAATCCCCTGGGCTGTCTGAATCCCATGATTGCCGTCTCTCCTCCGGTTTTTTAACCCATTCGACCAAACTCCTATAATGCAACTGGATGTCCTCCATCTCCCCTGTCTCGTCTATGTTCTGTTCTCCATTCACTTGGATCCCTACCACTTTCAGTCGCCGTCGGTATCCGCGTTCACCTCGGCACGTTCGCCCATAGTGTCCGATTTTTCGACAAAAATTGCACGTTGCTCCCCACGCTGGACATTTTGCCATGAGCTCTCGTGTAAAACGTGGCTGATTGCAGTTGTAGCAATTACTGGTACCCATTTGCGCTACCCTTCGGAGTTCGATCGGTGTTCTATACGGCTTTTTTGCTCATTGTCTACTATTTCGATAGCCTCCTCTGATCGCTCTTACTAGTTCGGTTTTAATCTAGAGTGTTCCTCACTCCCACTGTGTTTTGGTTGATCTGCAGAGCTCGTTCCGGGCCACTCGATCGTTCGTTTTAACAATGATTACATCCCTTAAAATCTTGGATTGCAGTGTTCCCAATTTACATCGCGCCACTAATCCACTTGGGACCGAATGGAAGTGCTCCAACGGCTCACAATATGTTGTTCCCTTTCTAGCAGCTGGAACGTTTATTAAATCTCATTCCTTTCTTTCTTAAACTCAGTTTCCATTGCATCTAGTACTCGCGAGTACCAAGTCGATCCCAGATCCAGGTGTGGTTTGGGCCTAAAGAGTTCATCCTCCCAAAAGAAATTAGTAAAACTTTGATATTAACGTCTGTTCCTACTCTAATCGGTTCTTTTCATCTTCATCTGCCGGCAGCGCAGTGATTTGTGCTGTAGTTAGCGTATTGTCGTAGTAGAAGTTTCTAGGATTAATCTTATGTTTGGCAACCATTCCCCATTGAAATCGGTTAACCAAAATTCCCAAATCATGGGCGGTTGAGCTAGTTTTGGGGACCAAAACGGCGTTATTTGAAATGGGTTCTTCACCCAGCACCCCCCCCCCCCCCGCCCCCACTTTGGCCTGCTGGCTGCGCCATGTTAGGAAAGAGTAACTCGTTCTGTAAAATTTAAACTATGAAATGAAGAACTGTATTTCATAAAGTTAGTCAGAGACAATGAAATAGAGGTCAATAAAAGGTGACAGACAACTCCGAATATTAAATAACACTTTTCACCAGAATTTTGACAGAGAGTGAACAGATCTAAAATGGCGTGAATTATTTTAGTCACTATCACAAATCAAAATATAATAAAAATCTGTCAGGTAATTAATCAGTTAGTGCCTACCGAAAACTGGAAACATTTTCTGAGTCTGAGTCATCACCTCAGCGTAACGGCAGTTTTTTCATTTCAGTCAATAAATTCGACAAAAATAATTTCCAGCAAAAAGTTCCCAATTTCTATTTTTATAGGGTAAACAGCGCAAAAAATTATATCTTAAGTTTTGCATTCGAATATCGATATCCTTAAGATAATAGCAAAAATAAATAGTCGGAAAAATGCTCCTCAGTCGAGAATCAAAATGAGTACGAATTGATAGTGCTACCCCTTATTGGGCCTTCTATCAGAGTATCATGAAAGACTATTTCAGCAAAATGTAATTTAATTTTGCATAAATAAGTATAAGAGCAAGAATGATCATTTAAAAAAACGGCTATTTTTTACATATTGTAATACTTAAGTCAATTTGTACAACTTGATGACGTCATCGATTTTCTGTCTACAAAGAGGGCAGTAAGGATTGACAGCCAAAAGAACAGCTGCACAAGGTGTGCAGGCAATCACATGACCACATCTGTAAAACGCATTGTCGACCGGTCTTGACTCTTCCAGGCATACAACACATTTTCCAGCAGATTCCGGTTGAACCGAAACGGAAATTCCAGTCGCATTTGTTGACAGCAAAGTCTGATTCAGAATCACTTGCTGAATTGCGCTCTCAAGCTGAGCTTGTGAGCTCGTTTGTCTCGTGAGGAGATTCTGCATCGATTCCATCATAGACTCAAGTCGCTCAATTCTCTCGTCACTTTCGGAAGTTTGTCCGGGTGCACCACGCCGAGCAGCGGGACGTCGGTATGCAGGTGGTGGAGGCACGGCAGCTGCGAAACGTCTTCCATTAGTTGTTGGAACATCCACAATACCAATATCAGAGAAGTCGTTTCGAGCTCTTTGATGTCGAGGCAAGTTGTTCAGGGTTCGCATCGATTCTTTTCTCGATTCCCATGTGAAAACAGAAGGTGCCGATTCAATTCGATGTTGGAAGTGACTTTCAAGTAGATCAGAAATTGTACTATTCAAAGTCTGGGTTACAATATGTTCACTAATAAGACTACTTATCTCAGCAAATACGTCGAATCTTTCATTTCTCACCACTCTATCGTCGTTCACGTGCGCTTGAACAGACTGCCAGCCGACAAGTTGAGGTGCTTCGGATACCGGTGGCGCGGGAGGAGTAGGAATCACAGGACGGACTTGGCGATCAGGTGCCGATGGTACACGATTTCGCCTAGGTTCCTCGCTTCGTCGAGTGTTCCTGTGGCCCCTTCGACTAGATCGGTTGTTCTGTTGATTTTGTACACTCTCAGGCGGACTTCGGAGCGCGTTTTCCAGACGTGTTCGGAAAGTGTTCGACAGCAATGTTCTAACCCTCTGCGCATTCATGACTGATTCTAGCTCCGATATTGTAGTCTCATTTTCAACCCCTCGTCTCGCCTGACTTCGTTGGAGCATCTCGTTTAGCACGAATCGCCGGTCATATCCAGAAGGCATCTGCGTAGCGAGTCGTTTGACTTCGCTGATTCTCTGAGCTCGTTGAGACTCAAAAAATTGGTTCAGAAACAAATCGAAGTTTTGGTTCTGGTTTCCTGAACTGCTCGTATTCGAAGTATTTACAGAAGCTGAAGGTGTATTGCTGCAGTCAATTTTAGTAATCTCAATTCGATCGCTGAGCATTTGCGTGAGTGAATTGTTTTCACATCCCATTTGAACAGTCAAGCTCGTTTGATTCAGGAGACGGATTTCATTTGCGCGCTCCTGGCGCTGTCGCTCGAAAAAAGAGTCCAAACTCTGGTCCATTTCTGCAGAGAAAGAAAACAGAAAGAGCTCAAAAATTAAATGTTGTCCAAAAAAAGAATTGGTTCAATTACCAATATTTATGGTATAAAAGGTATAGTGTTGTGTTGGTGAACAAACGAAGTAAAATGATATTTGAAGCAAATATATTGCTTTTTATAGCAAGATTACAGCTCATTGCTGGTAAATTCAGCGAATGGATCTAAGTTTGACGGCAATTTGAAGAATATATAACGCAAGTTCTTCAGTGAATTTTTGATGTCATGTTCGTGTCAAATGAAATTCGTTCGAGCTCTAATGCGAAGTCTATAGTATATATTTTAGCAAATTTACCAAAATGACACTCTTAAGACTACAGTCGAGTTTGTTGAGCCATGTAAGCTATCAAAAAGTTTGCCAGCCCGAATATTGTAACTTACCTGAATATGGCAAAAACCGATCAATAAAACAAGGCCACTCGAAAAAAACTGATTTATAAGGTCAGAAGTAAAAACGATTTAAAAACTAATTTGCTGACATAAATTTTTTTAAATAGTAACATTTAACTATATTACGATAAAAATATGTGTTCAATTATTATAAACAGCTCAAATAATTTGGCCAAAACAGGGACAAAACCGTGCTTAGGGAGAGCTCGAAAGATCATTTCGGTCGACCTAAAAAAACGTCGACAAAATTTTTGAAAATTTTTTGAAAATCCGCTCCCCCCCTCGAAAAAATCCTAGATCCGCCCCTAGTTCTGATCAAGCTCTTCAAGCAATGAAATTTTGAAAAATTTGAAGTTTATTAATATCTTATCTGAGCAAGCTCAACGTTTTTCAAGTACTTTCCTACCTTAATTCAATTTGCAGCTAGTTGTTTGGAGAGAGCTATTCAAACGATGAAATTTTGAAAATTTTAAAATTATTTCAATCCGTGTAACGAATTGCAAAAAACTGCCAGCCATTTATTTCAGCAATCAAGTCTAAAGCTTGAAACAAAAAATCATAGTAATGGTGTTCGCTTAAATTAAAAATTTTTCTTGCAGGCAATTAAAAAGATAATTTTTGAAAACTTTTGAAGTAATTTCATACCGTGAGCCGTGTGGCAAAAAATGAGGTTTTTCTAAGCAAGCAATTTAAGCTGTACATTTCAAAAATGGTAGCATGATTCAAATCACAATATCAGAATTTATCTAACTAAGCTTTTTAACGATGATTTTCGAAATTCTTTAAGGTAGTTCAGAGTGAATCGGTTCACAAAAAAAATGTTTTAGCAAGCTAGTCACGCATTGAAACATAGAAAATTATCACGTTATTCATAGACAAACTCGATCCGCAAACAGTTAGAATTTTCTGTGCAAGCAATTCAAGCAATGAAAAGAAAAAATATCTCAAGCTAATTCATAGAGCCAATCTGTTCTCAAAACATTTAAGTTTTTGTAAGTAAGCTACTCAAGATTTGAACCATTAACTTTTTCAAGTTCTTTCATAGAGCAAAGAGGCTTGCAGAAATGTCAAGTTTTTCCATGCAAGCAGCTTAACTAATAAAAAAATTAGAAAAGTTTTGAGTTCCTTAACAACGCGAATCGGTTCGCAAAAAGTGTGTGAGCTTTTCTAAGCAAGCGACTCGGCGATAAAAAAAAACTCAATTGTTTCAAGTTATTTCAAAGAACAAATCGATACACAAGCTATTCTAGCGACAAAATTTCATGTTTCTTTCTTCAGCTAAATGGTTTGCAGAAGTATAAAACTTTTCTTTGCAAGCTACTGAGGCGACAAAACCTAAAAATATTTCATACTTTTGAGATATTTCAAAGAGTGAATCAGTTCGCAAACAGCTTTTCAAATTTTCTGTGCAAACTATTCAAGCTTTTCAGCTTTGAAACACTTCAATTTTTCAAAGAGCTGGGTATGATTTGAATAAAAAACTGTTGTTTTTGAGAAGCAAGCAATGAATTGGTTTACAAAAGTTTTTTGATGTGAATTGTTCAAGAAAACGCACATTGAAACATTTCACAAAATATTTGATAGCGTAAATTAATTCACTTAGGTCAGAATTTTTGATGCAAGCGATTGACGTGATTCAACTTGGAACATTTTACATTCTTCCGATAGTTTGAGTAAATTAATGCCTTGAACATGAATTGGTTCACAAAATAGCTTTCATAGTTTTACTCGACCCGCGAAAAAACCTACTGGCAAATAAAATTTTTGAAATTTTGAAGTAATGACGAATACAAAAAAGTTTCATATTGTTACAATTACTCGAAACATTTTACAAATAGCTAATTTCAAATTATTGATCGAAGAAAAATTTAGACTTGTTTCTATAGCTTCAAACAATTTGCGGAAAATTAGTTTTTTTTTTGCGAGGCCAGCGATGAATCAATGAAAATTTGAAACTTTCTCGTTTTTTTTTCGATAACTTGATTTATATCACAAAAAATATAAAATATCTCAAACAAGCTATTAAGTAATAAAGCTTTGAAATAATTCATATTGTTGGCGTAGCTTGAATGGGAATCGATTCTTGAAGAGTTTTTTTCGTCAACGAGTTTTTTTAGTCTCTCCAAATGAAGATTGGTTGATTTTCCCCTATCACCTTGATTCGTGCCGGAATCTTCGATCCGTTGGCTTCCAGTTTCACTTCCATTGCTCCAAGTTAGAGTAGCGATATGTTTCCGTGGTACCGGAACTCCTTGTCTTCCAGTTTGAGACCACTCAATTTTACGCAAGCTGTGCCCAACATCCTTTTAGTTCGCTAATTTTAAAGATCGGAACTGTGGGGGTCGGCAAGCTGCTGTAAATCCAAATGCTCATTTGCTTTCCGTTGAGTTCAATTGGAATTTTTGCTCCAGCTGTTTTCAACTTCGTTTATTGCTTTGACTGTATCGCCATTACCGCATAATCCCCTGGGCTGTCTGAATCCCATGATTGCCGTCTCTCCTCCGGTTTTTTAACCCATTCGACCAAACTCCTATAATGCAACTGGATGTCCTCCATCTCCCCTGTCTCGTCTATGTTCTGTTCTCCATTCACTTGGATCCCTACCACTTTCAGTCGCCGTCGGTATCCGCGTTCACCTCGGCACGTTCGCCCATAGTGTCCCATTTTTCGACAAAAATTGCACGTTGCTCCCCACGCTGGACATTTTGCCATGAGCTCTCGTGTAAAACGTGGCTGATTGCAGTTGTAGCAATTACTGGTACCCATTTGCGCTACCCTTCGGAGTTCGATCGGTGTTCTATACGGCTTTTTTGCTCATTGTCTACTATTTCGATAGCCTCCTCTGATCGCTCTTACTAGTTCGGTTTTAATCTAGAGTGTTCCTCACTCCCACTGTGTTTTGGTTGATCTGCAGAGCTCGTTCCGGGCCACTCGATCGTTCGTTTTAACAATGATTACATCCCTTAAAATCTTGGTTTGCAGTGTTCCGAATTTACATCGCGCCACTAATCCACTTGGGACCGGATGGAAGTGCTCCAACGGCTCACAATATGTTGTTCCCTTTCTAGCAGCTGGAACGTTTATTAAATCTCATTCCTTTCTTTCTTAAACTCAGTTTCCATTGCATCTAGTACTCGCGAGTACCAAGTCGATCCCAGATCCAGGTGTGGTTTGGGCCTAAGGAGTTCATCCTCCCTCTTTTCCCACAGGAATTAGTAAAACTTTGATATTAACGTCTGTTCCTACTCTAATCGGTTCTTTTCATCTTCATCTGCCGGCAGCGCAGTGATTTGTGCTGTAGTTAGCGTATTGTCGTAGTAGAAGTTTCTAGGATTAATCTTATGTTTGGCAACCATTCCCCATTGAAATCGGTTAACCAAAATTCCCAAATCATGGGCGGTTGAGCTAGTTTTGGGGACCAAAACGGCGTTATTTGAAATGGGTTCTTCACCCAGCACCCCCGCCCCCACTTTGGCCTGCTGGCTGCGCCATGTTAGGAAAGAGTAACTCGTTCTGTAAAATTTAAACTATGAAATGAAGAACTGTATTTCATAAAGTTAGTCACAGACAAGGAAATAGAGGTCAATAAAAGGTGACAGACAACTCCGAATATTAAATAACACTTTTCACCAGAATTTTGACAGAGAGTGAACAGATCTAAAATGGCGTGAATTATTTTAGTCACTATCACAAATCAAAATATAATAAAAATCTGTCAGGTAATCAATCAGTTAGTGCCTACCGAAAACTGGAAACATTTTCTGAGTCTGAGTCATCACCTCAGCGTAACGGCAGTTTTTTCATTTCAGTCAATAAATTCGACAAAAATAATTTCCAGCAAAAAGTTCCCAATTTCTATTTTTATAGGGTAAACAGCGCAAAAAATTATATCTTAAGTTTTGCATTCGAATATCGATATCCTTAAGATAATAGCAAAAATAAATAGTCGGAAAAATGCTCCTCAGTCGAGAATCAAAATGAGTACGAATTGATAGTGCTACCCCTTATTGGGCCTTCTATCAGAGTATCATGAAAGACTATTTCAGCAAAATGTAATTTAATTTTGCATAAATAAGTATAAGAGCAAGAATGATCATTTAAAAAAACGGCTATTTTTTACATATTGTAATAGTTAAGTCAATTTGTACAACTTGATGACGTCATCGATTTTCTGTCTACAAAGAGGGCAGTAAGGATTGACAGCCAAAAGAACAGCTGCACAAGGTGTGCAGGCAATCACATGACCACATCTGTAAAACGCATTGTCGACCGGTCTTGACTCGTCCAGGCATACAACACATTTTCCAGCAGATTCCGGTTGAACCGAAACGGAAATTCCAGTCGCATTTGTTGACAGCAAAGTCTGATTCAGAATCACTTGCTGAATTGCGCTCTCAAGCTGAGCTTGTGAGCTCGTTTGTCTCGTGAGGAGATTCTGCATCGATTCCATCATAGACTCAAGTCGCTCAATTCTCTCGTCACTTTCGGAAGTTTGTCCGGGTGCACCACGCCGAGCAGCGGGACGTCGGTATGCAGGTGGTGGAGGCACGGCAGCTGCGAAACGTCTTCCATTAGTTGTTGGAACATCCACAATACCAATATCAGAGAAGTCGTTTCGAGCTCTTTGTTGTCGAGGCAAGTTGTTCAGGGTTCGCATCGATTCTTCTCTCGCTTCCCACGTGAAAACAGAAGGTGCCGATTCAATTCGATGTTGCAAGTGACTTTCAAGAAGATCAGAAATTGTACTATTCAAAGTCTGGGTTACAATCTGTTCACTAATAAGACTACTTATCTCAGCAAATACGTCGAATCTTTCATTTCTCACCACTCTATCGTCGTTCACGTGCGCTTGAACAGACTGCCAGCCGACAGGTTGAGGTGCTTCGGATACCGGTGGCGCGGGAGGAGTAGGAATCACAGGACGGACTTGGCGATCAGGTGCCGATGGTACACGATTTCGCCTAGGTTCCTCGCTTCGTCGAGTGTTCCTGTGGCCCCTTCGACTAGATCGGTTGTTCTGTTGATTTTGTACACTCTGAGGCGGACTTCGGAGGGCGTTTTCCAGACGTGTTCGGAAAGTGTTCGACAGCAATGTTCTAACCCTCTGCGCATTCATGACTGATTCTAGCTCCGATATTGTAGTCTCATTTTCACCCCCTCGTCTCACCTGACTTCGTTGGAGCATCTCGTTTAGCACGAATCGCCGGTCATATCCAGAAGGCATCTGCGTAGCGAGTCGTTCGACTTCGCTGATTCTCTGAGCTCGTTGAGACTCAAAAAATTGGTCCAGAGTCAAATCGAAGTTTTGGTTCTGATTTCCTGAACTGCTCGTATTCGAAGTATTTACAGAAGCTGAAGGTGTATTGCTGCAGTCAATTTTAGTAATCTCAATTCGATCGCTGAGCATTTGCGTGAGTGAATTGTTTTCACATCCCATTTGAACAGTCAAGCTCGTTTGATTCAGGAGACGGATTTCATTTGCGCGCTCCTGGCGCTGTCGCTCGAAAAAAGAGTCCAAACTCTGCTCCATTTCTGCAGAGAAAGAAAACAAAAAGAGCTCAAAAATTAAATGCTGTCCAAAAAAAGAATTGGTTCAATTACCAATATTTATGGTATAAAAGGTATAGTGTTGTGTTGGTGAACAAACGAAGTAAAATGCTATTTGAAGCAAATATATTGCTTTTTATAGCAAGCTTACAGCTCATTGCTGGTAAATTCAGCGAATGGATCTAAATTTGACGGCAATTTGAAGAATATATAACGCAAGTTTTTCATTGAATTTTTGATGTCATGTTCGTGTCAAATGAAATTCGTTCTATCTCTAATGCGGAGTCTATAGTAAATATATTAACAAATATACCAAAATGACGTTCCTGAGACTACAGTCGAGTTTTGATCGAACCATGTAAGGTATCAAAAACTTTGCCAGCCCGAATGTTGAAATTTACCAGATTATGGCAATAACCAATCAATAAAACAAGGCCACTTTAATAAAATTGATTATAAGGTCAAAAGTAAACTATTTAAAAACTAATTTGCTGACATTATTATTAATAGTAACATTTAACTACATTATCGTTAAAAATGTGTGCTCAATTATTATAAACAGCTCAAATAATCACTCCGGTCTTCTTTTTTACTCCTCATGGAATGCTTGATGCCTCCAAAAAATGATACCAAAATCGCTGGACTACGCACGCAACATTCATTACGTCTGCCGGAATTTGTAACATATAAGAGGCTACTAGCGACTAGTGAGAGTCGCATACTCCTTGGTCAGTTTCTAATTGAAAAAGAACTCAACTGTTCAAATTGGGACAAAGCCCTGAATGTTTCGACTGCCTCTAAACGTCGATGAGTAGATTTTTTGCCTAATTACCTGAAAAATCTTAACAGGTAAAACATCTTTTTTAATTTGATCTCAGGACGTCAATACCTTTCAGATGATAGAAATTTTGAAGAGCACGACGAAATTACTGGCAAAAATCAGGAAAACAACCGACTCAGTTTAACGATCTTTCACACACAATTTTAATTTACAACTAGCAAGCCCGTCCCCATTAATCAATCAGGTCGCAAAAAACTGATTGTTCTGATCAAGCTCTTCAAGAAATGAAACTTTGAAAAAGTTGAAGTTCATCCATATCTTATCTGAGCAAGCTCAAGGTTTTTCATGTAATTTCTTACCTTAATTCAATTTGCAGCCATTTAGTTTATTGGAGAGAGCCATTCAAGCAAGCCATTCTTTTCTGCAATCAAGCCTAAAGCTTGAAACAAAAAAATTCATAGTGATGGTGTTCGCTTAAATAAAAATCTTCTTTGCAGGCATTTCAAACGATAACTTGTGAAAGCTCTTCAAGTAATTTCGGTGTCCTACAATTTAATGACATACAATTTAACACCGTACATTTTAACACATAGTCATTTCACTGTTAAAATTAATGCTGTATGAATTCCTTATCTTAACTCTTATCACACCAAAGTTAATCCTGCAATTAACACACGCACCATAATGAAAAACTTGGTTTATCTTAGTTATATATGCTAAAAGGAGGCTTCGTAATTTACTTAAGACTCTTATCTACAAGTTTGTAAATTATTTTCAATTAGATTTTTCGCTAAGCCATTATGATTACTAAAAAAAGCAGCTTGTGCTAATTCATAACAATTTGACGTAAAAATTCTGACAAAAATTAAAATCTGACAGTCACTTTATACTTTACTCAAGTGATAAACAAACGCAAACACAAAAAACACATTATGATTGTGTCTTCTTTCGAGTTCACAGTTTTATCAAAAAACAAGCCCATTCTTATAGCGTCCGGCCATGAATTTTATTCAAAGCGAAAAAATAAGTTTACAGAAAACTGGATTTGCTCAAAACATCAAACACACAAATGTCGAGCAACTGCCATTACTAAAAATAACGAATTAATCGAGACGCGTGGAGAGCATAACCACGATATTTCAGTGGGAAAATCGGAGGCCTGAAATGTCATCAAGCATATAAAAGATCTCAGCGAGAGATTTACGCCGACTGTTGCAGTTGCCAGTGCGGTTTTGCCAATTACAAACGGTTTGGCCACTCAGTTTGCCCTCCCAAGTAAAGACAAATTGATCTGAACGGCTGCGCACACTCGTAAGCAGCTAGATGTAAATATGCCGCCCATCCCCGTTGCGCGAAATTTCGAGATCCCTGAAATTTTGAAAATTTTATCCGGAATGACAGTGGATCAATTGATCATGAGCGAATCATTTTGTGATTTTGTGCGTTGACCCCGAAACGCTGAGAAGTCATCTTTCTGGTTAGCCGATGGAACTTTTAAAATTACTCTTAAAGTGTTCTATCAGCTATATTCAATTCATGTTACTGTGTCTGGCATTGCGCCAGCTTGCATTTACGCCTTCCTTCCTAACAAAACCAAAAAATCCTACAATCGCTTCTTGCAGGCGTTAATTGATTTAGCACCCAACTGCCGGCCTGAAAAAATTTTGTTAGATTTTGAGCAAGCTGCTTTCTTCAGTCCTTTAAAAAAACATTCCCCGAGGCACATTTATCGGGTTGTTTTTTCCTTCTCTCCAAGAGCTACGTGAGAAAAACTAATGAAATGGGTCTGAAAAAGACCTACGAAATGGATCACGATTTAGCGCTGGCTTTAAAAATGCTGCCATTTCTTGCATTCGAAAAAAAAGAATAGGTCGGCGATTCCTATGACATGATCGTTCAGGAAATTCAGAATGTATGCGACAGAAATTGTTTAGAACCCGAGAAATTTGAGAAAATTGACGAGTTGTGTCTGTACTTCGGCACAACTTATATAAAAAGCTTGGTGCCAAACCGTGAAGTTTCATTCCCACCCGCCCTTTGGAACCAGCGAGATGCGGCCGTGATGGGGATTGCTCGAACAACAAATGCTGTCGAGGGATGGCGTTTCGGGATTCAATCATATTTCAGCGGGGCCCTCCCACATATGCGGAAAGTAGTGAAGTAGTGAGCAGCCTGCAAAAAGACGCTTCCGTACAAAAACTCAACTTTTTTGATGCATCGAGTGGCCATAAGTTCACAAAAAAAGAAAAATTATCGAGTAATAAATGAAAGAGTACAAAATATGATGTCCGTTTACGAAGACAAAACTGATCTGTACTTTTTCCGAGCGTTGTCTAGTTTGTGTTAAACGTCTAGTTCAATTTAGTGTTAAACCTTAGTAGGCAAAAGACGTCTAATTATTTGCGGGCTTTTGAAGTTCATTGAACTATTGCTTGTTTTTGGTTCATTTTGGAATGATTCATTGAAAATTTTGGCAAGGCCATTTCAATTTGGTTTGAAACGTTTCATTGAAATAATTTGCAAAGTCATTTCTGTTCAAAACTTTATTAAACGCGAATTAAGTAGCGCGAATTTGTCTGGCTTTAAATGGCAAAAATGTCTCTCGTTTAATCCTTTGATGGTTACCGAAATCCCCTTTGAAGTAAATTTTCTTTTTATTTTGGATTAAAACGGTGTTAAAAGTCATAGAAATTGTTTTAAAATGTAGCGATGTTAAATTGCTACGGCAACAAAAAGTAGGGAGTGAAATTGTAGGGTGTTAAGTTGTTTAGAGTTAAAAAGGGGGATCCGTAATTTCATACCATGAGTCGTGTCGCAAAAAATGAAATCTTCTGAGCAAACAAATTAAGCTCCATTTTTTTAAATGTAGCATGATTCAAATCGCAACGGCCAGAAATTTTGTAACTAAGCTATTTAAGCGATGATCTTCGAAAACAAGATACTAACGGAATAATTGTGCTCGGGGTGGGTTTTTTTTTTCTTCAGACAAATTTCGACTTTTTAACTAGCCATTTTTGACGGAAGTTTTTTTTATCATTCGAAAGCCATTGTTGTCCTGAGCTTTAATTTGAAAAGATATTTCACCTGTGATCTTTTTTAGTAAAGTTATGAGGGTTCAAAGATTGCCATTTTGGCCATTTTGACCAATTTGGGACTAGTAACGCGCGATATAATTCGCGCTATTAACGCGTAAGCGGAGATTTAATCCGTCTTAGAAATCGTTCTAAATTGGTTGAAAGAAGCTCATTTGCCATAATTGATTTGTTACAAGGAGCAAAATCTAATGTTTTGTACTTTATATGGCGTGTGGGATGATGATTTTTATAGAAAAAATTTCAAATTTTAGAAAAAAAAGTTTTTCATTTTATTTTATTTCATTTATTTTTTTTATGTTGTTTATGTTATTACTGCTCCATAAACGTTAAAAGGCAGTCGGAACTTTCAGGGCTTCGCCCTGATATGAGCAGTTTTGTTTCATATTATTGCCGTAGCTTGAAAGGGAAGGTTTTTATGTCACCAAATTATTAAGAGATAAACTTTGTAATATTTGAAGTTCTCCGTTACTTTCACCAATTCGCAATAAGTAAGTTTCTTTGTCAAATAAGTCATTAACCATAAAAACTTGGAATCAGTTTAAGTAATGTTTCATATCATGATAAAATTCTCGAACATTTTTTTTTCGTGATTAGATTATTTTTCATAGTTTCAAGCGGTTCGCAAAAATCTAGTTTTTGCCAAGTAAGTCATAGACTGGTAAAAGTTGTTTTTTTTTATATTGAGCGAGAGTTTGTGAAGTGAGCTGTCCGCGCAAAATTTCATACAAAAACTGGCATCTGATTTCTAGCCTTGAAGTTAGTCGAATTGACCACGTCAGTATTGACCTCGACCTTGTCGTTTTTTCATAAAGAAGAGCATTCTAATTTTCATTTATTTTAGCATTTAGCACATTTATCGAAGAATTTGTTAAATTTCTGAAGTAATTTGAACCTTGAAATATGTTGAAATAAGGTTCAAATTTCAACGTATTTTTCAAAGATACGTTTGAACGTTCAAAAGAGCAAACTAAAATAATTGTGTTTTTTTTTCAGGTGCCAGTTTTTTATATCATTTCAGGCACTTAGCTTCAAAACAATTTTAAATCAGCAGCGATTTGATAAGCTTTTTTTCTAGAGAAAAAAATCAAAACGCCGACAAAAAGACAAACGAAAAACTTCATAGAACTATTTCTTATAAATTTTAATTTGATGGCCAGAATCATTTCAAAAATTTAAGACGTTGTCCGATATGTTTGTTATAAGCTATACATAAAATAAAAGAAGTTTCATAACTTATTTCACAAAAAAAATTAAAATGTGCTATCCCATTTTGTGTTTCTTTTTCT